TTTAATGAATACAGAGTCTTTAGTCCTGCTAATTTTGAACTCAATCGTTTCATGACCACTATTTTACCCTCATTGACTTGTTCAGCGTGAGAGTCATATTTACAAATAAAATGAACACAACACACAGGTTAATATTTATTTATTCTCTTCAATATCAGGGTTCCAAATCTTTTTCTGACGCTTCGAATTCTTTCACCAGCGCTTGATTTTTTGCATTTATTCAAATAAGAAGTTGTAGGCCTCATGTTTCTCGCTTTGAATGAATTCGTCGGAAAAAAAACGCTCGTGACAAACATCATGACGTGAAGTAAAATGACAGGCACAAATTAATAGGTGTTATATCTCACCTCCTCTCTCTGACGCGCGATGAAAAAAATACCGTTCTCCGCACATGGAGAATACTAAACTTAACTATGTTCAATTAGAACGGTTTACTAACATAAAATGATTATAAAAAATCTTACAAAACATTCACATTGACCGCAACTTTACTAAAGATGAACAACAAGCATTGGAATGAATGAAAAAAGACAAGGACAGGACATGTTAGACTTCCTGTACCAGCCCGCCACAAACGACCATTATGACAAAATGGAAGCACTAGTCACCGACAAACCAAAGCTATGAAGTACCCGAGCGTGACCCAACCTCTACTATTTAACGCAAGTTTGTTAGCAAAAGACAATCTCAAAGTAAAATCCTGTATTTTTTGAGAAAATGTATCGTGGGTTTTCCGAGACCGTCCCCACCCGAACCTCAGTTTTGTTTGAAGATCTCCCCAGTCGTTAGCATAATAAAAGCAATTGCAATGGTTGGGAAAGTTTTCAAAGTTCAATTCTTAGGTAAACACATATCAGAAATTGGTCATTCCACTGAAAAAATGAAAAGCTGGTGTTTGAGCGCTCTGTGTAGCCGGTGAGAATGTAGAAAAACTGGTTTCCTAGCACCCGAGGTGCAAGAAGTGGAGACGTCAAACGGCATATGTGTATTCGAAACGTGAAGTAGCCGTTTCCTGTTCACAGTACGGTTCAAGCTTAGGTTATTCAAAGTAGGTCAAAAAACCAGTGAACTTCAGTGAAGAAATTTCCTTAGGAAATTGACTATTGCATAATTTGGCACCTGAGCTACGGTTACGAAACTAAGAGTATTAAATTTCTTTGAAAGTTAAGAACAGAGCTTTCGGGACTGGACGGGATCTGACTAGCTAGTTAAAATGGCTTTTTTTTCTGTCACTAGTTTCAACCCAGCAAGATCAAACATTTATTCCCCATAAACACTGAAACCTAGTCCCTGCAGGGAGCTGGGATTTAGGCCAAAAATGGCCCAAATCAGCAGATTCATAAAACCTCGTTGTTTATTGAACAGTTCGTTCAAAACGGACAGCGATTGCTCCTCCGTCCAAACTGACTTTGGGGTTCAGTAATGTCATTAATTAACTAATCTGACATATCTCTCTTAAGCCAGAACAATACTAAACATTATGAAAAGAGACTGCACCGCATCGTCAGATTACGTGGTCTACTTTCATGCTGATGTCGCGGATTGTGGAAAGTGAATTCTTTTTCGCTTTTTAATGAAAACGATTGACTAGTCAGAAATACTATCGTCCAGAACATGTATTAAGAAAATGTATATTGATCAAGAAGTAAATAAACTACATTTCTCTTTATTCCTCTTGTTATCGAAGAAAAATATTTCAAAGATGCAATAGAGAACTTTTGAATTCTTCCTCCCCCTCTCTCTCGTTTTTCTATAAGTATGCAGAATCTTTTCAAAAAAATTCGTTCACTCCCTTTTTTTTTAATTCCTTTCATTTTTTTTTTTTTTATCTTCTATTGCTGAGGTTATACGTGAAGTCACAAAATGTAAATGCTGCTTGCCTTAACCGAAGTGTTCTCCCTGGGTCAGAGGCGTGTGCAGTAAGCAGGAACAACCATGATATACCGTCACAACATTGAAATGCATTCTAGGATCTATTGTAACGAATAGTGCCAACAGTTAACAACTATTCACAGAAATGGAGGTAGTTAGTAGGAGATATTTACCGAGCCGCGGAGCGGCGAGGTAAATATCCACCGCTAACCACCGACACTGAGGTGAATAGTTGTTTTAATATATACTAAAACAGTGAAATAATATACACCAACAAGAATTGATTTAAAATTCATACATTCCTTCAACGATTCCAGCATTTTCACGCGCGGAAGTGAACAAGTGAGGTTACGCAAGATTAATTTGCATTGTAAACAAAACCTTTCTCATTGGTTTTTACGATAAACTCCGGGTTGAAAAATCAAACCATTACCTTTAAACACGGCCAAACCAAATTTAGTCGCTTTCTCTGCGTTTTCAGAGACTGCTTCGTCGTTAATTTGATTGATTTCTTCGCTTGTCACGGATGCAAACCGGGACGCCATTTTTTCCCGAGTTGCTCGGAGGTAAATAGCAAAGGATATTCGGAGTTTGACTAGCCAATCAGAGCGCGCCTTCAACGCTATCAGCTGTTTTAATATTTAACAATTATTCCACGAGTGCGCGTTGGATATAAGATGATAGATAGCCAACGAGGCGCGTAGCGCCGAGTTGGCTATAATCATCTCATATCCAACAAGCGCGAGTGGAATAATTGTTTTATTAAAAACGCCCCCAAGAAATTATTATTTTGTTAGAAGAAACTGGATTTTTTAGCTCCCGTTTGATTTTAAGCTGACGCGTACGCTTACCATATTTGTAGATTATGGTATATTGGCTGATATACCATAATGGCTAAGCCAATAAAAAGTCTTGAATTGCATTATCCAATGATCCAGTTTTTAATAAGATAGAATAGACTTTATTTCAAGAGGGTAGCACGTGACAGTAGTTAAACTCATGATCCTGTGGCCCTCTAACCNGTGATATCACAGAAATATCAACAAGACAATTAAGAGACAAAAGTGGAAGCACCTAGAAACTCAAAAGATGCATGTAGCATCTTTGTGGAGCGTACGAAAATTGAGGCTAACTGTATCCTAATAAATTTCCCTCCTTCAGCGTGACGACTAAAAAAACAGTTTCCGAAACCTTCTTATTGCACTAAGCACAATCAGGCACGTTAAGGCCAAACATATGTCACCATTGTAGGTAAAACTCGTCACTAGGACATGCGAGTAAAGATTAAAAAACCATCCCACTTGTATTGACCAGAAACTAAGTGGAAGCCAGTGCAAATGCTGTAACAAAAAAACAAAGAAAAAACAAAAACAAAAAAACTTGGAGTCAAATTAAAATAATAAAAAAAGGAGGTAATTGTAATTTCAGGTAACTTTGAAAATAAAGAGCTTAAGGGAGCCATGTTCCCTTCGAAGACATCGTTTTTCAAATCAAAGACAGCCAAGGTTTTCCTTATAACTTTCCTTTTCTGATAAATAGAAATGAATTTGACTTTGTCTAACCCTGTCATCTTTCCTTGAAAAAACTGAATTTTTTTCAAAATTTCAGGATTAAGAGTACGTGTCTCTTTCATTTATGATGGGGCATTGGATCATTCAAGCAACTCTAAATTTTATTACACGATATCATTCGGTCGGGATAAATGTGGAACTGAAAAGGAAAAAGAAGTATTCACTTAGGCCTGAGCTAACAAATGAGTATTCGTTTAGTAACAAACAAGGAATAGGGAAACAACATTGAATCAAGATTTTGTATTTCGACAATTTATCAGAAGGGTTAAGGCACCAAGAATCTTAAAATCAGTGGATATCCGCAGTAAAAAGATATAGTTTAATGGAAAACACAATAAGAATTCGTATACAACTGCATCTTTAAAAACATTTATTTTAAGCAGCTACACCAAGATTATGATAATCCTTATCTATGATCGACGTTATATCGAGGCTTAAATATTTTGACCAATTACTTTCACACATTTCTTAACTCATGATACTTTGCATTTGGGACAAGTTTGAGCCAAATTGGGGATTTGAGTATTATCACCCCTGCCCGGTTCTGCCCGGTGTTCTCGTGGACATGCTCTTTAATGCTATTGTACTTTCAAAGTTCTTCCACGGCATTTAAGTTCATTGAGGAAGCCTTTCTGACCCTACAACACCGTGCAAATTTTTTTTTTACAAGGGTTTTATAAGAGAAGCCAACCATCAGTTGGTTATAATATTCATGAGCTCTAAGGAAAGAGAGACCGCTGTCTCTTTAATAGATGAAAACATGAGGATTATCCATACGTGTTATGAAACCGTGTTTCTCTTTACTAATACAATAATGTCTGGCTGGTTGTGGCAGCATAGAATAAATGTTGAACTTCCATCGCCTTAAAGAAACTTGACAGCACCCTTTCCTAGTTTCGACTACAGTTTTTTTCTTCCTATCTTACCATTACCCAGATCGGTTTGTTCAGATAACAGTAGCCCGCGATACACTTGGTACCAAGAGCGCGGCTGTCATCGGAGGTGTTGTAGTTGTTTGAGCCGTCACGATGATTCCAAATGTCAATCCACATGTCTGTGCCAGCATGGCATTCAGTTATCCCATTGTTCGAGTAAAAGTGCAAGTGTGATATGGTGACAAAACCAGAAGAGGGATTCCTCTCATTGTGATCTGCTGGGCTGTACTTGTAAAAACCGTGGATGTTCCTCACCTCATTGTAAGTTGTACCCATCAAGAACTTCTCGAAGACTGTTTTGTACTTATTTGGAGCGCCTGCCTTTCTGTTGTAAATAACCCGGATGGTATTGACGTCGCTGAACCGGAACATAACTTCTTCCCAGTCTCCCATGTCAGGGTGGATGTGACTCGATGCATCTGCGTCCGTGGATCTTGCTGCTGAAGCTAGGAAGGCTGTCTTAATATAGAGGAAGCTTGGAGACACTTTCGTGGAAATTAGTGTCCAGCCTCCACCACTGGTCTCCATGTCGCAAAAAGCCTGGTAAGAGTCATTTGTTAAACCACCGTTTGGATCGATCCAGTAAAGCCCGCTACCACGACTTTGACCTGAATTTGTCAAAAGTGATCCTGAATAACTTTATAAATTGGACCAAATTAAAATTATGTGGGCACGTTATCATTTTATTTATTTATTTATTTATTTACTTATTTATTTATTATCATCAAATGATTGATTCGCTCAATCTCAAGCTCACCTGACTTTAAAATATCGAGACAGTGACGTCCTGGGTCAGTAGCGTCCAAACCAATCCCTGGTTGCCAAACTTTACCATTACACCATTCCCAGGCCTTTCGGGCGGCATTATAGCGAACAGTGCCAGTGATACTCGTTAAACACTTAACAGCGTTTTCACTCTAAAAGGAAATTGTGTGATAAAAACGGGTTTATAAGGTTGAATTGATGGAGACAACATTTAGTTAAGTGAAAGGGATGCTTAGCTTCAACGCCACCCAAGTGACCTAATTGAAATCATGGGATAGAAAATATGACCGCCATATATCTTTCATTCAAGTACATTATCGGTGCTATATGCGTAAATTCTCANTGACATACTTTACGTAGAGGAAGGTTGATGCATTACAGTTATGAATCATTGTAAAGAGATCTAGTGACGATTTCAGATAATAATATTCAAACATTGTTTATACACTAAGACAGATCTAGGTTACCTTTATTTCTCTGTATATGAAATTATTATCCTCAGTGAGGTTGGAAATTACTGCAAATCGATCAGAGTCACTTAGTTGGCACTTGAATTTCTCTGAGTCGTCCTTTATGGTTCCAAAGTTGTAAGACTGACAACGCTCCTCATCCACACACTCCAGCTGACAGGAACTTTCCGAATCCACTTCTATTTCTCTTATCAGGCTTCCGTTCAGTTTTTTTCCTTCTATCTTGTCGGCAAAGTTTACAGCTCTCAGATCTGGCTCTGAAATGCGGCCAATGCCGTACACAACGGCACAAAGAAGAAATATCATAAAGAGATGCATGAGTAGTCTTTGCCGTCAGACAAAATAATGATGAACAAGAATGAATGTTTGTTTCATTTCTATGACGTAACTAAATATTAAGCAGGTGCAAGGAAATCGACAGATTAAGAGCAATAGAAGCTATTCGATATGCGTCAAAAGTGACTTTCAGTCCTTTTGCTATGCTGTTATCCATTTTCTTTCGGATTTTATTAGATTGCGGCGTTCCCCTTTTCTTTCGCTGAGACTCTATGAGGGTTGATTCATCTTTTAGTTCTTTAAAATACCCTAAATAAAGCATGAAACGAATCATTTTAAACTGATATTCTCAGCCAGATAAATGAACCTTTAATTTTCTTTTACAGATAGTTACATTCTTGTTCCTATAACTGATTAAAATTCAGAAACAATGACTCTTTCCACATCAATTTCTAGTGGAATCTTTCAGATCCTGCTCGGAATTACGACCGATGCCCTGTCAATCTGTTTAGATAGGAATGAGAATCTAACGATTACTGTTTAATCTCAGAGGAAAGTTGGAGTTAAATGGTTTTTCCGTCACAAAAGCAATGAAGAGGGCGGGATTGCAGTGGAAAGAAGTTTTTGGAATAGGAGCGTGCATTGCGAGTTTCCTAATACCTTTACATCAGTTGCTAATTAAGGTCTGTTTTCCTTTGAAATAGCAATCATTATTTGCATCGTCACCATTATTTAGATATTTTCTTGGCTTTTGATGGAAAAATTTTTTTAACAATGCACAACAAAGTATTCCTCAATCCAGTCAGAGCAACGTTTCATTCGGAAAGCTGATGCGCTTTTTTCCGAAGCAAGACAACAAAACAGCTTGGGTCATAAAACCAAGACAGCACTGTCAGATGTGTGGCAGTTAAACTGCGATACCTGCTCGGACGATAAATAAGAAAAGGCAGCTACTCGAGATTAGTAACATAATTAGCAAAATTAGCATAATTCAATTGAATGAGACAAGAATACGGTGGGCAAAGTATCAAAAAATTTAATTGAGTATGTGCACGATATCGTGTCGTGCAGTTCGCCAATTGTTTCTGTTTGATAATTAAGAACAGGAATTCGAGCCAAAGAATTAGCATGGGCTATACCGGTTGTTGGTTTCCACGAGCAACGGCTTCTAGAGGATTACAGGATTGTATGAACATTTATCCGATGTACTTGTTTAGTTGCCGCAGATTTATTACAAATTTTATGCGAAGCCAAGCAGGGAAAGTTTACAGTTGCATCTGTTTCAATACGTAGATGTGATTAAGATATTGAACATCACGCAGACATTTAAGCTTCTAATATATTTTGCGAAGTAAACTCCGTATTTTTTAATACCACCATCCGTCTAGGCATCAAAGGAATTTATGCCTCTTTGTTATCTGAAAGTGAATGAATTATCACATTTTAGACACACACTTATTCTTTTATTGCTATTTCTACATCTTTGTTGCTTTCATATTACTGCAGTAACTCCTGAGGTAATGCAACCATAATGGAAAGCTACATTAGAAACAGAATCAGTTTACGCATCGCAAATTTCTTAATCTAAGCTTGTTTTCTTAGGTTAAGCGCATTGCATGTTTGTGGAATCTCATTATACACTCTAGTTCTCAGATGCCGAGGCTATTTTCCTCACCAAGAAGTTAAAAACCGTAAGATGCCGCTGTTATTAGAATTTATCAATTTTTTAAGACACTCCCGTGCATAAACTTTAACAGGAACTTCTCTGAACCATATTTTGACACATGTGA